AAAAAAAAAAGAAAAAAAAAAGAAGAAACTCCCCCCCCCGCCCGTTGCAGGCCGCACCGCAGTGCTGCGGGTCCATCCCGCTGCACCCTCTGCAGAGAGAAAGCCCCCCCTCCCAAGCCCCCGTCTTCCAGATTCGCTTTTACAGTTTTAAATGATAATTTAATACCTTTTTAAAGGAAAGATAGATATCGATCGCGTTCCCAAACTCTCTCCGCGTTATTCGCGAGCAGTTGTGAGCAGCCTCCGGGGCGCCTGTCACATCTGTGATACAACCAAGAGGGATTTCACATCAGGGGCTTTCTTTTTTTTTCTTTTTTTTTTTTTCCCCTCTCTCCTTCCCCTTCCCGTCGTCTGCCCCCCTCTCCGCAAAATAAATCCTCTTGCAGAAAGCACCGGCCCTCCTGTTCCCTGGGCAAGGGGGGAGCTTTGGGGTAGGGGACAAGCAGGAGAGAGCCCCAAGCCGGGGGAAGGTACCCGGGGAGAGGGGTGGAAAGAGGGGGGGGGCAGTTATTTCTGGAGTTTTTCCGTTGAGGAGGAGGAAGAGGAGGAGAACGGGCTGCTCCGGCTGCCCGGGGAGCCGGCGGCCGCTGCTCCCTCCCGTCCGGGGCCGCCGGGAGAGGAGCAGAGCTGCTGCTCAGGGAGGGGGAAAAAACACCCCCCCCCAAAAAATCAGGGAAATGTTCCCCTTCCACGGGTGTTTCCAGCCCCCGGGGTGGCTGATGCAGAATAAACCTTCCGCTTGTCGCTGGATTTATTTTTGGCGGGGGGAGCGCATCGCTAACCCTGAGCTCCGCATAGAATGTGTCCCCCCTCCCGGCCGCGAAAAGGGTGTTTTTCTTCGCTTTACATCGCTCTGCGACTGAGTCTCCCCGACCTGTCCCCAAAATCCCCCGGCATGGAGCTCACATCACAACACAAAAGAGCTCGTGTAAAACCCACGCTCAAAACCGTCGCCACGGGCAGCGTTTCCACTAGGAAATAAAATATCTCCGAGCACAAAAACTCTCCCAAAATCAGACCATTCCCCTTCAAAGAATATCAGTCCCTGCGCGAAAGCCCTTTCTCACTCTCTCAGTATCTTTTCGGACTGTGAAGATTTGGTTTCCGATGTATTTATTATAACCAGCAAACGTGAAAAATGGAAATATATCGCTCCGGGTTTTATAGGCCTCGCCGTGGGAATAGCAGAAAGGTTGGAGGGTTTTAAAGCGAGCCCGTGAATTGGGGAAAAGAGAAGCTTTTGGGAGGAAAGGAGAATTTTGGGGAGGAAAAGCCGGACCGTGTGGTGTCTGATTTACGAGGGGGATGATGGTGTGCGGGTCCGTGCCAGCCTTGGAGGGATGGAGGGGAGAGAAACACGCCGGGAGGGGGGTTGCTGGTGACACTTGATTGCTTATAAAACCTCCGCGCAGGTCCCAGAAGCTCTTTCAGGTTCAAGATGGGCCTGGGATGGGGTTTTGGAAGGGAGAGGACGGGAAAGTTTCGGGGTTGAAGATGCGGGTTGGCCCCCGCAGATGAACGGGACTGGCTTTGGTGGTTGTTTGCTGGTGGGTTTGGGGTGGTTTAATCCGGTCCGCCCCCAGTCCCCGGCGGAGGACAGATGCAGGGAAAGGGAAAAAAAAAAAAAAAAGGAAGAAAAAGATCATCTAGAGCAATTAGCCCTGCTAACCCCGGCCCCGCTTTGCCCGCCCGGCCCCGCATATTCCCCGCCACCACCCCCGGCCCCGCTGCGCTTCCCAAGCGGCTCCTTCCCAAACCCTCTCCCCTTCCCTCCCCCTCCCCGAAACTCGGCAGTGTGTTTTGTGTAAAAATAGACAAATCCGAGCTTTCTTCCTTTTCCTGCGCCGAAGGTATTTTTACTAGCTAATTGCTTAAGTGAAGTCAACTTTGCAACCAGGCCGGGTGTAATCCGAGTATGGAAATGTATATAGGTGGTATTGTTATAGGAGGGCTGGGTGCTGCTCCGAGAGGGGCCGGGGTGTTCCTGCGAGCCCAGACCACCCAGGGTGAGGGGAGTGACCGCCTCATGTATGTCCCCCTCCCCGCTGCCCCTGCTTTGCATTAACACCACCCGCAGGACCCCTCCTGCTCCTTTTGCCCAGCACCAGCCCTTTTCCCCCGGCTGGTTTTTTATTTTATTTTATT